GTGTAAGGCATAGATGGATCATGCTCTGGGATCCTTTCTTGACCTGTGACAAATTTGTGAGGTGTGCTCGTGTCGCATCAAAAAGGCAGCTTCCTTGCATTCGGTAGATCTGAAAGAAACAACTTCCATAAGCTTCCACCTTGGAGCTGAGAGTTGCTTGTAAGCTGTTTCAGGGGTCAAACCAGCGATGGCTGTGTTGCATAGCTTTTTAACTTTTGGAGGCACGAAGTGCTTGCCCTGCTGAGGACATCGAAGATTTGGTGTCACTTCTACCTTGAGCCCACCATGCTGTGCAGAGGTTTTGATGTAAACAAGAAGATCATTGGACATCGGGGGGCCAACACCAAGCGAATCTTCGAGAAGACAGGACCGGGGAAGACTTGACACAATTGCTTAACTTTCAAGTCTTTGGGAAGCATGTGGCGATTGTTGTGTCTGTATGTGCTGTTACGAGAAACTGGCAGGTGCCAAGATTCGGTTGCGCGGGCGTGGAAGTGGTCACAGTGAAGGAGGCCGCGGAGAGGCTCCAGTTCCCTTGATGCTGGCAGCTCCTGAGCAAAACCAGCAGGTTAGACGTTGGAGGTGTTGGGACAGCGAGAGACGTGAAAGCATCAGGCATCACTCTGGAGCCCAAGTCCGAGCTTCGGCAATTTTGGTTGAACGTTTGCCTGCCAATTGATTGTTGCCATGGATTTCACAGTGAGAGGGTTTATGGGTGTTTAGGTTTGGACTTCAGTTACTACCTCATTTTGCCGTTTTAGTACATTACATCACACACACACATAAGTCAACATTGCATTACATTACATAGATTGGGCTATTGTTCCAAAAATCATTGAGGTCACTTCTGAGAAGCGGAGTGTTGGAAGCTTTATGCATGCATTGGCCATGTCTGCGCAGCTGCTGCAGATGGTCACCAGCAAGTTTCCTGACTTTTGGAGATTGCGTGGCCTCTCGGTTGCAAACAGGATGTTATATTTTGTGGGCAAGCAAGGGGAGAGTGGTGGAACGCCTTCCCAAAGTGTCCTTTTGAGGGTCTTGGGCATTGACATAAAGTAAATATAGATCAAGGCAACTGTTTGGGCTGTTTTGATTTGTTCCTATACCAATGATGTCATATTGTTGTCGGTCTTTCTTAATGCTATCTACCATAGCCTGCGCCAAATCTTGCAAAACAGGATAAGTATTACGTGTGTTTTTTGGTATCATCATCAACACTGGTTGTGTGGTAGACATAAGCATCATCTTCACAATGAACATCAGGGTCTCTTGTCCTACGGTGCCTGAATTGTAAGGTATGCTCTGAAATCTAATTCACCGTCTACCTGTTCATATATCAAAGAAAACAACTCTTCTTCTTGTTTCATAATAACATGTTTAATGCTATCTTGAATGGCACATCTATACTGATAACATACCGTCTTTCTGGTACTCTGTGACCGCTTCTATTGTTTTCTGCGTTCTGTATTTGCTTCTGATTTAATTCTACTATAACTACTACATTGAATTTCTTTGCTTTACTTTTACATGTTCAAGGTTCTCCAATCGTATAGGATACAAAAAATCAACACATCACCTGGTAACTATTTCAGTCAATCCATCTTATTAATATTTACTGTATACACTACATATACCTTAAAGTATCTTTTCCAAGAATTGCACTTACATATTAAATTAACACCATTAAAACATATAGCATGACGTCAAGTCTGTTTGCAAAACATGATAGCTTTTGACGTAGCAAATTGGTAGCTATTTGATAGCTAATAGGTAATGTTGATGATTTTGATGATGACACATGATGAAAATGAATGAGGTGATATGATATGATGTGATGAAATTATCTGATGTTGTTATGAACTGTTATGACAAAAAACAACTATGGTGATATGAATAGATGATATGAATTTCTACAATCCCTATTTTATTATTTTTGGAAACAATATGGCAATAGTACGGCCAAAGGCATGATGTACATGACTTGCTGTGTCTATGGTCCTTGCGAACGGGAAACCAGTTTTTTTTGGAGCGCATGAAAGGACCACGGCCACAAAAGCCTGGCGTTGGAGGGTGTCAATTCATTAGTTTTCAACATTTTGTTGGCCCCCATAAATCTGAGACATACGTATAGGTCTCGATGGTATGGTGTGGGCGAATCACAACAAACTAGCTGTACCTTCCAGGCCACGACACGATTCCTCAGCCTCTCTACTGGATTGGAGAACTGTCTCAAGATGCCCTTGGATTCCTTGAACAGACGTCAGAATCTCGTTGGCAACAACAGTCTTTTTCCTCGTCTAGATGAATCTGTCCATACTTCATTTGCTTTGGTCAACTGTGTGGTTCTGAGTCAAACATACATTTGTCACTGAACACACATTGCACCAATAGTCACAATAGTGTAAGATGTTTCAAATCCACCATCATTCAGCTGCCTCTCCACATTGTGAGAAGCGCCTTGAGAGCAATTTGCGATTCTCGCTTCAAGCCTTGTAGTTGGATTGGACGTATTATGTATTTGGATATATTTGGATGTATTTGGCGAAAAGAGTCCTTTGAGTTGCATTCTCCAAGTTGCGAGTTTGCACTCCCAAGTTGTTTAGATCAACACTCTGCCAGGAGTCCCAGGTGCGGATTGGACAGACAGAGGTAGCCATTTTCTTGGACAGCCACAGCCGGAGGGACCTGCAGCAGATCATTCCCCAGAGATCCAAGTGCACAACTGCAGGACAAGTCCCAGACCTGCATGACTCACCTGATCAGGTTGGCCGTGGTCAAGACCATCTTCCGTGTGTTTCCCAAGCGTTTCTGCACTATGCGTTGGGAATTCCGCCCAACTGTCAACTCCCATGCCACGTAGCGCACGTAGCGCTGGTAGGTTTGTCCGACTCTTGGATTGAGACGTGACCATCAGCGTAACTCCAAAGAAGGGATGCGTTGATTTGTAGGATCGTGCTAATCTGGACCTTTTCAAGTTCAGGGGAGTTTTCCTCTTTGGAAAGGTCAGGGTCTTGTAGTACGGGCGAGCCACCCTCAAAACCTCTATAGTCGCGTGGGACAACACGGGCATTTGCAGGGGGCATGTTTGCCACACCCACACACATAATAGGTTTTGAAGTTGCTCATGTAGGCAGTCTCGAGCTCCTGGCAAGCCGGCCTTTTGGTTGGATACCCTGCCTAAGTTAGTACATAAATGTATACTGTAAAAGGACTTCAGAATGGATCCTTCATTGAACTTGGAACAGTGGAATCCTCAGACTGCTCAGTCACAAAGATTCAGAAGTGTAACTCACGGGTGAGCGGCGATCCGCAAAGATGACTTGATGGCCCTCAGATGAAGAGAACTTGGTGTCCTTTTGCTTATATTAAAGGCACTCAGATGTCTAGGAATATTGGTTGATAGCTAACCTTCCAGAGTTCACAAAAGCTAATTGAAAGTGTGGGGGGACACTTCCATCCAATCTGGTGGCCCGCGTCGCGTTTGGACCCTAGTTTATCCGCAAACAACAAGGCAAGCAATATGTATATATGACAATGATAGACCCGGAGTCTGGGGCTCTCAAAAGCAAAACTAGTGATGTAGACTTGAGACGTCGGCGCCTTTGGGTACAACCAAGCCGTGGGAAGGTCTGAGTAGACGATTGTGCAGTGCAGCCCATCTAGAACAGCACAAGGGTCATCCGAGCTGTTACCAGTTTCAAATTTCAACGCGGGATTTCAAGTGTTTTTGCCTTTGCAGATGTTTGACCAGACTTGACCCTTGACCGTTAGTGGAGAAGTACCTATCTAAAGTTAAACAAGTTCCCACAAGTTGCTTCCTTGCGCTCCAGTGCTACTGAAGTGTCCTTCCATTCGGCTTCGGAGCTTGACTTGAGATTCTGAACGACTTGCGACGAGGCAGAAACCTTGCTTTGTCGAGGTCGTCAGGTCATATTATCCGGTCTGTCTTTTGACATGAAATCAATGCAGTTTTCAAAGATTTGGAAGGCATCCCAGACGGAGGCCAGAGCTCTTTGGGAAAGATCCCTGGAGGCGCTCTAAACTTCGAGACTTCGAGAGCTGTGGAGCTCATTTATTGGCCATGATGCTTCAATCGAACGCCACCTGACCCTGAAGCCCCTCACATGAGCCAGTCTCTCAAAGTTACTAATCTCACATTCTACAGTATCCGCTTTCCCCCATGCTGGGCCGGCCACTGAAGACTCGAAGATTTGCTCTTCAGCCTGGATGTGGAAAGATCAGCTGAGACAGCCCGCAGCTGAAAACAATGTTCACGCAGCTGATCAGCTGAGACAGCCCACCTGCACCCACTCGGTTCAATGTTTGCTACCTTTGTTCCCACTTGGCGGACCACCTGCTATTCCTGTTGAAATACCGCTTTTTTTGTTTGGCTCATGGCTCGCGGCATCGATGCAAAGGCGTCAGTGACTCAGAGACACAGGACATTTGCCAAGCCAAATAGTAAATAGATGTACTGTAAATAGAGAGCGCAGTTTAAAAAGAAAGTGCAGGGCGCCCGATTTTCAGGAACGTACAGGGCAGTTGAATGAATCTCATGTTCAGAGCGAAGAAGATTAGGTTGTGGTGTCTCTCAGGCTCTTACAGCGCTGGGCAGAGCAAGGCCAGATGGACTTGTGCTGCCAGTTGAACATAGTCGAGGAAGTCTGTATACGTCCGTGCACCAAACGGGAAGACCTACTATCAATGGAAGCCATTGCATCATCGTCAAGACCGGTAGCCATAGTCTTTATATTTATGTGTCTTGACTATTCTCAGCTAAAGCAGTCTACGACATGCAGTATTTGTTTGTCCGACATTAACATGCGTGTTTATATATGCGATCAACTTGGGGACGCCCTAAAAACGAGATACCTTGCTTGATGACGTCGATCTCTTGCTAGTGATATTGATAGTAAGTCTGAACGAGATCATGTAAACATGGCAACATGTGGTCGGTTGCTAAACACATGACAACATGTGGTAGATACTGTAGGGCACTTGAGTTTAGGTTTGAGGCCATTGCTATTTGTATTGATGAAGCACCAGAAACATCCGCCGCGCAAAAAAAGAGAGGTGCGCAAGGCACCAGGTGCGTCAAGCCAACAAAAAGAGCCGAGACAGTCGAGAGAGGCATGTCCCGTCTAATTGAACGACATGTAATTGCACGTGCAAGTGCACCAACCTAATGCAATGGCCTCCAACCTACTAGCGATGGCCTCCAACCTAAGCGCGATGGCCTCCAATTGAACGTCTGCGGCTGTGCCCAAGTTTCACACGTGGCAGGCATGTCCCGTCCGGACTTGCCAATACTACCATTGCGGCAGGATGTCCTGCTTTGCAAAGCTCTCAAGATTCTCAGGGAGATGCAGGGAGGTAAGCTGCGACAAGTATATAAAACAGACAAAATACACATGTATTTTTTTGTGGTGGTGAGTGACAACATAAACATGCTGGAAGTGCAAGTTTAGTGTTTCCAATAGCTAGGGTACTGATGGGTAGTATGAGAATACCAGCACACCAATGTGGCAATGCACTGGGAGCAACAAGCCGCGAGTGCCACATGTTCAGAAATAAGGCAATGCTCTCTTCGAGGAGATCGAAGATGGGCTAAATGAGGAGATCAGCACACTCTCTCTCTCTCTCTCTCTGTGGAGCTTTTAGGAAAGTCCAGGGAGATGTGTCCTCGTAACATGGGAGGCTCGTTGAACTGGGCATATGTCATGATTATATTGGAGCGAGCGCTTAACGTTATGTCGTCACTGGAATGTGGTCACGGCAGGACTTTCTCAGAGAGTATACTGGAAACTATGAGCTCTCAGAGGTTTCAAGCCTCGAGCTACAGGCAAGGAGTCCTTGTTTGCGGATGACACATCTCACAGGGTTTGAACATCTTTGAACTATATAGAGTGATAGTTGTTTGATAAGCCCTCAGGCTTGAAACATTGATGACAGTAGCGTTGCTCACTTGCCAGGAGCGAACAGCAACCCTCTTCGATACACTTGTTTGCTCAATGACTCAATGACTCGATGAACATGATGCTCCCCGTGATATGAAACTAAACGATAGGCCCTCCCAACAGTTGCAATTTGCCGGCGTCAGAACGACTTATGCTGCATATGTGTCGTAGAATTTGATGGACATACTGACATACTCTCCCAATCCTTTCCAGGTTGACGCCATTTCTCAGCGTGTTGGAGGCTTAGAGGTCCTTCAGGGTGCCGGCCTGTGGCGCCACCTGGCCAAGCCAAGCCAAGCCAAAGAAACTAGGAACCAAATCATATTTCTGCGAGCGCTTCTTCAAGGAAGCTTCCCCCGCGCCTTGAAGAAGCGCGACTTTCCTGCGTCCTAAGTAGTAGCTTACTCGTAGCTACTAGCTACCGTTAGCTACTAGCGGCGGCCTACCCCCCCAAAAAAGAACACTTCCTTCGCCGAGGTGGAATGTCTTGGTGAGCTCCTTCCAAATCTACTGCAGCTGCTTGACACGACCGTGCCGGTCCTGGGTGCACGAGAAATGCGGTCCTCGATTTCCAAGGATGCGTCTCAGCGGGTCACACCTTTGCCATGGGCCAAGAATGGACACGCGTCTTTTTTGAAATGTATGGTATACTTGTATAGTATAGTATATAGTATAGTAGTATATTTCAGTTGATGTTTGGTTGGGATGCCAAAGCATGAAGCCTGCCAAGTCCGCAAAATCAAGCTTTCCTGTGACCTTCAACAATGCGGCAATGATGGAGCTGCAGTTTGTCATTGGTTCGAACACGCATGTCTTGTAGGTTCCTTTTTGCTATTAAGTTGGAGGCCATGGCTTTTAGGTTTCTTTTGCTATTAGGTAGCGTGCGCGACCTTGGCACCAGCCTGCAGAATGTGAAGGCCACCGGCCCGGTCTTGTGAATCATGAAGCTATATAGTGAGATATCCACGCTTAGCACCCTGTTCAAGCAAAGAAAGTAGAAGTAGGAGCAGATGATCCTCAACAATTGGTTGTTGTGTTTACCTGAAGGAAGGTCCTGATTTACACCTCAAACCCATTTTCTTTGAGCTCTTCTTGACCTCAGGTGTTGTGGCTTTCCCGCTGCTCTGTTCAGGAGCTCGAGGGTCATGTTGTTATGCTGCTTTAGAGTTGCAAAACAAGCAGGACGGCAGCTTTTTCGCAGTGGTGCAAGTTCTAGGCTATATAGTTATTCCTTGTTAATTCCAAAGCATGGTGGCTCTACAAGACAACACGCGTCTCCATTCTGGCACGAATCCCCACTGAATCCGGAAGGCCCCACAGTCCTACCACATGATGTGTTGAGCAATGTTCGACACAAGCCCTTCTTCCGATCAAATATTTTGCAGAGACCCACGGCCTCAGGTTGGAGGTCATCGCTTGTAGGTTGGAGGCCATCGCTCTTAGCTCCGCCGACGGCGACGCAAAGGACCTGGGTGGTATCACCGCCATGCCTGCGCTGGAGGAGTTCCTGTTGTTCCGGTGGAGGTTCCCGCGAATATCGATTTCGTTTCTTAGGTGAGTTGTCACCTCTAGTTTGAGTAAAATGGATGTGTGTATTATCATTAACAAATTACATGTCTATAATCCCATATCTCTCATGTATATATATATATACAATATATGTGTAATGTTGGCGGCTTCGCCGCAACTTACGTTCAAGCTGCTCGAGATTACGTTCATTTTTTCACATCTGACCAACTCGTTGCAGGTTTGGAAAACACATGGTGTATACGAAGCACATTCCCACTAGAACATCAAGTCGATATGAAGACAAACCTTGGTGGAAGCCACATTTCTGCTGCGAATACAGAAGAACACGCAGGTTTTACAATACACTACACAAGTCGGTTACACAAATTAACGCTTTATTGTTCGGTTTTCCTTGCCTTTTCTATTTTTCGAGAGCGTGCTTGTGCTTGGGCTTCAGTGGTCGAAAAAGAGCACCAGTAGTGGTTGGTTTGCGTTTTCGATCCAAAACATATACAGTACGCAGAAAGTTGGTTTCACCCTGTTCGTTTTGCTTGTTGAGGAAATAGGTCTCACGAGGAACGCTGAACATATATATAGACACATAGAGGTACCTTCTGGTATACATGACATGGCCAATGTCATCATATCAATTGTCGCAGTAGTGCTGCCATTTTTTGGGGGGCTGAGGCTTGGAAGTTGAGACCTGAAGCTGAGGCAGCTTGTTTGCCAGCTCAAAACATCATTCTGTGACAGCATGTGCACAAATGTCCAAGCAGAGGACAATTCACTGATGCCAGCACAAACTGCACAAAACGTTCGGGTTCCACGAGCAAATTGAGAAATGTTTTGGTTTCTATATATTTGTTTGAATGCTTATTTATATACATTGCACATCTTGAGAAGCTGCTCGCTGTGTTACTTTTAATACAGGGAATCCCCCAAAGACCCCTAGCTGGAGGGGGGAATGTAGGCCAACACCTGCTCCCTATTCTAATAGGAATGGCCTCCAACCGAAGAGAAAGGAATAAAACAACTAAAGAAAGAAGTAGACCATAAAGAGAAGACCTGGCAATGGCCTCCAACCTACTAGCAATGGCCTCCAAGCTACCTAATAGGGATGGCCTCCAACCTAGAAGCAATGGCCTCCCTATTCTAAGACATACCCATCCAGCGTACTTCAGTGTCCCTGAAGACTCAGCTTCGAACACCATCACTTTGGATGACTTTGGTGTACTCTCCATTGCACGGCCCTGTTGAATGCCAATAGTTTATACAGATAATTATATATGTTTATCTCAAAACATGAGTCCAGGAGCTCTATGTGTCGTTCAATGACATCAAAGACCTCAGCCCTTTGTTGGCGCATGAGGAACGACGGATTCAGCTGAGATCAATAACAATGGACAAATTGCAGGTGAATGACAGGCTAAAGGCAGAGCCCTTCAGCATAGACAATGCAAAGATGAGCGAACCTTGCAATGTGCCTGAGCTCCAGGCTTTGCAGATCCTGGATTTGGAAGGCAATCTAGTGGAAGACTTCGATGAGGTGGCATCTCTTGAGGTGGGCGAGAGAATGTGATGCCATTGCTCCTTTGATCAAGAATGATCGTTTTCTTGAGTTGTTCATCAAAGGTGAGCAGATGAAGAATTGTACAATCTTTTGGCCTGCATGGTGGGTGCAGCAAGCTAGAGCCGTTGTCAAGTTCTCAAGGCAGTTTGTGAGATTCTTTGGGATGTCACAGGCACTGGCTTCGCTGCGAGAGTTAGATCTCAGCTGGAGACTCTGAGGCTGCGGAGGTTTGAACTCTGGAGGAAGGCTCCAAAGCAGTGAGGCTGACCCAGCATAAATTTGCAAACTCGCCAGATACATTATGGAAAACCATGGTGTACTGTAAGACTTTAGAAGACTCCGGTATGGTTTTGAACTTCTTAAATGAGTTTTGCTTGCCACTGAAAGTTCGGTTGGAATTGTGTACTTCACCCTTACCATATTCTTAAGCAACTGCCTAGGCTCCACACCACACCACGATGGGGCCAAACCAGGCACCACTAGGTCAACTGACGGTGACATCCCGGATTTAGTATTGTTTGTCCAACGGTAGTTTTGCATGCCCAAGGGTCTTGAAACTTTGCCCGCCAAGCACTTTAAAGTAGAGTACATACTCTTTTGATAGCAAAGAGCGCCACAAACCCTGCTCACCTTAGGCTCAAATCCAGTCTTCAAACATCCCGATGTGACTCGGGAGTGCATCCTCGAGGCTTGTGACTCGGGGAACCTGTCCTTACTTGGTAAGTCTTGCACTTGGCAGAACCACACGGCAGGTCGGATACACACTTGACTAGGGTGATCTGGGTGTAGTGATTTGGAGGCAGCTAAAGGTTTCGACGTCATCCTAGGCTTTCTAGGCAAGATGCAAGATGATGCAAGCCATGAATCAAGGTGACGTGGACTCGCAATGATTATATATATACACATATGTGACAACGTTACATGGAATGTCGTGGAATCATGGTTAAATATAACTTTGTAATTGCAAACCGAATAACACGTCACAGAGAATTGTATCATAATCACTGCCGTTTTGGAGATTTGCCTGCCATGTAGGTGCTGCCACAGCTCGAAGTCCTCGACAGCCTACCGCGACATGAGGCCAGAGATCGGGCATAGATTAGTCAAGCATGGCCGCGTGGCTTAAAGTTTGGCAGTTATTAAGGCCACGAGCATGCTGCAAGAGCGTATCAAGAAGTTGGTAAGAGCGTATCAAGAAGTTGGTCGGTGGCTGGGATTGTCCTGAAGTTGAACCTAAAATGAGTAGTTACCAGTAATTGGATCATTTGGGATTGAACCAGGAATGGAGCAGTATAACATACAAATCGACAGCAAGCAGCCGGTCTTTTTCAATCCTTTTCAGCCTCGTCCCGCTCAATCTCAATTTTCATACAAAGACCATCTGGCGACAAACTGTATCTGACCTAGTATGAACTTGAGCCTTTGGGTGATGGACATCCGCCATGGATGACCTTCTTCGAGACGAGCTGCTGCCCGCTTTGGCACTGCTCTTGCGGCCAGTGGATTTGTGGTCTCTGCGCCCCTTGAGGCGGCAGGCAGGGAACGACGTTTTGGAGCTACCACAGAACTGGAGGGCCATTCTGAGGGAAGCTTTGGTGCAATACCCATCTCACAATTCTGTAAAACGTGTCTCCGCATATATATATATACAGACACATCATAGTATTCGTATCACCCAATGAAATGTCCGTTGATTGTTGGCGTCATTTTGCGCATTTATTGCAAAGTCTGAGTTTCAAGGAACTTTTTGGGGCTTGTTTTCCTTATACTTATATATTCATATATATATATATATATCTATTATATTATTCATGTCTTCTTCATCCACCAAACTAAATGTTGGACTATACTGTGCACTCAATATTATTCATTTCCACCAGTATGAGTGTGAACAATCTGAACCTTGTTGATCACAGCAGTATACACTATCATCAGTATTAATTAAGGTTTTGACTTGACCATTCTCAGATGATGCAGATAGCCTTTGCCATGTGAAGTTATTGTACAGGCGGATTGTGTAGCGATCCGAGCAGCCTTGATGGGTTATCAAAAGACCAGGTATGACATTATATTTACCAATGTGCATATGTTTCTTGTTATGTGCTTTTTGTTTTTTGCAAATCAGGTACTGTAACTACTTTTCTTATGTGTTGTAACTATTTTCTCGTCCTTAGGTCCTTGCTTCCAGCAAACATCAACAAAAATAGAGGGAACACTGATTGGGCGGTTCATTTGATCCAGATCATTTGATTTTACTTTGTCTACTATATATATGTACCCTTGTATCCTTGAGACAGGTTTCATGTATTGGGGTATCTTTAGCGAAGACTATTGGATTTGCATTCATAGACCTCCAGACTTTCCTTAGGTGTCACCATTCTCCAGACAGACAAGTACACAAACCAAGTAGACAAACCTATGAAGACTTCACCAACCATAACTTGTCCAAGGTCAATAAATGTATGTCCAGCAACTGCATCAATATTAGTACTACCATTGCTATTGAACACCTATTGTTCAAGTTCATTCCTAAATCATCAGCTCCTGCACCGCTGCCAATATATATATTCTACTTGGAATCGTACCAGTACCATGCTAGTACCGTGCTGGACTTTTGGTAGAATCTTAGATCTTCAATCAATCCAGGAAGTACGCTTACCCACCAGGAGTTTGGAAAAAGCAGTAGGTAATCAAGTTGGACTCAGGCTTGAACCAAAACCAAAAACCAAAGCCGGAAAAGCAAAGCTCCGAGGATAATCTTTGGTTTCAGCCTCAAAGATGTTTTTTATTCCTTTTTGTGTTCCTAGTAGTTTTGTTTTTCAAAAACACTCAAAACCCACCAAAATTAATTTTGAGGATGGAACCGAAGATTCTCCTCAGCATTTGTTCGTTTGCTTTTGTGTTTAATTGAGTCAGCACCAGCAGCAGTAGTGTCCTCCTGATTAATACAAATGGATCAAGAGCAATCTCTAAATATGTCTAAGTCTAGATATCTAAGTTCCTGCAGATTCAGTCTTGCCAAGTGTCCATGAAGTATGCATGTGCATCTGTATCTGTATGTGTCTGTGTGTGGACATAAGGCACCCTTCAATGCAACTTCAAGCAAACAATGGTTCAATACAATAAAATACAAAAACAATGGTTTATAAATGTATATATATAATATAAAATATATATATAATATAACATATAATATATATATGTTATATATAATATGATATAATATGATACAATATAGAATATAACATTAATAATTTACAATTATATATATAGTATGACACTGTACTGCCAGACGACCTCTTTCTCTGGTGTTTTCGTTTGTAGCAAAGTCAAGACACCAGCATTGGCTTCTGCGAGACGCGAGGCCGCCTTTGCTGTCCTTTGTCCCTCCATGCTGCCTCGCCTGCGCGGCTTTTGGGCAGCAAAGCCTGAGAACGTCAGTGAGGCACGCCTCAAAGATCCTCAAAGTTCAATGTTGCAGGATGTGGAAGGCAGAACAAACACAGACACGATCACAGAAGTCTTTGGATTGTCCTGGCTTAGCACGCTTTGGCAGGTGCTCCGCAAAGGCCCACAACCGTCTGCCGCACTGTTGCGCTATGTCGGGGAGCAGCTGCTGATTGGCTGCCATCCCTTCGTGCCCAACGAGATACTGGATTGCACCAGAATTGTCTTCTGATGCTAATTTCAACTTCCCTTTCTGTCATGAAGCGACGAAGCGTGTCACAAAGATGGGCACTTCTTGTAAGTTGCTAAGGAGGATCATGATACCGATTCAGTAGACAGGTGTTTGAACGTGTCCTCCTTACCTTGTCGCCTCAAGCGAGGATTTGTTTGAATGCACCATCAAGTCGAATTGGACAGAATATGAATGGGTGTTTGCATACCATGACCTTATATTGTCAAGATCTGCTCCAAGGCTAGGGCAAACAGCTCTTACGTGGGCTTCGGAGTATGGTTTGGAAGAAGTTCTAGCGCTATTGCTTGGAATGGCTTTTGATCAACCAGCCCACGTGCAGCAGGTGACTGGATCATGGGAAACCTCAGAGCTCATGAGAGACCCTTTGCAAGTGTTATAGCTTTATTGTGTTTTTCTGCCAATCGTGGTTGACCGGGTGGACTGTGGACGGTGTACGTTTTACTGAGGCACGATGGGAGCACAGGACAACAGATGTGGATAGGTCTTTGAGTCTCGAACGTTTAACTTACCGAGATGCTGCAGCATGTCAATTTGAGGAAGCCCGGCCCACGTGACGCCACATGAACATGCAAAGAACATGTTGCTTGACCACGCGTTCATATTCTGCATTCCAAAGCTCCCCTCGTCCTGTCAGGTCGAGTCAAATGGATGGTACCCGCTGTTCCGCGCAGCCTGGACGGGCCGAGCTGCTTGCGCACGTCTCCTGCTCAAAGCAGCGGCCCATGTGGAAGGCCCAATTTGCCGAAGCCGCTACTCGCCACTGATGTGTGCTGCACGTTGGGGCCACCGCGAGGCTGAGTGGCCCGAGAGAGAATTCGATTAATTGAGATGATTTGACATGATGTGTGATATGAGGAGATTCTTTGTCCTATGACTCGAGTGCCGTTCCTGAACATGTGATATGTATGTATGACCAATTATTTATATATACACATACATATATTACCTATATACAAATATATGTATAAGTCTATATGTATGCCTGTACTATACATAGAATTATATAACCCTTCACATGATGATCCGGCCATCTGAAACAAAAGTGCTAATCCGTTGGGATCCATCCATCCATGGTCCTTGTTGATGTCCATGAAGGTGGTAGAAGCTTTGCTTGAAGCATCTGCTGATGTGAAGCGACGCAATGACTTTGGTGAGGCGGGACATGGTCGGACACGGTCGGACAAGGTGGAGAAGAGCCCCGTTCGTAGCGTCCTTGCTCCTAGTTGCGATGCCAGGAGCCCCTAGTAGCGTTCTTGTATGTTCTTGTTCCTAGTAGTAAGGCCAGGAGCCCCTAGTAGCGTCCTAGATTGAGGAACATGATGAAATAAAGAAGGTAAGGGCCCATTTCACATGCCCCCAACAAAACCTTACCTTTTGCTTCCATCATTCTTTTGTTTATCATGAGGCAGATGAAGCGAGTGTAGGTCAAAGGGGTCAAAACCAAAAAGTCCAGTCCGGATTTGACTTGCACAAGTATGGAAACTCTGGAGGCATTCAGAGGCTCTTATGTTGACACCGAGAGCACCGCAAAGGTGGAGCAGAGACATGAGAGCACACATTATGATAGCAGACGCATGAGAGCGCACTCATAAGAGCACACGTGCGAAATCATGCGATATTTCTGATAAAGTCGAAAACGGGCCCACAAGTCCAAAGTTCACAATTCACTGCGCCTGCCACGAACTGTGAGCCCGCCAGAGACACCACCACCAAGTCCAAAGTACTGTGTTTGCCATGAATGGACATCAAGATGAAATGACGTGAACATGTTCCGCTTTCCTCCACCGACTCAGGATGCTTTGGTGCTGGCAAAAGGTCAGGGGCACTGGGAGGCCAGCAGGTTTTGACGCAAGCAACCGACCTTGTCAACTCTTGCAGCTGCCTTTGCAGCATACCTTTATGACCCTGTATGCAATATTGTGACATGTCTGACGCGCGTGTGTGTGTGTGTGAGTGTGTGTGTGTGTCTTTGAGCTAACATTTGTGACTATGTTGTAGCATGCTTGCTGACAGAGCGTGCTTCGGGTGGATGTTTTTGAGGTCTGGCACTTGCTTCAAAGTGCTGGAGCGGAGATTGGCCATTGCAAGGAAGACGTCATCCAGCCTGTTTGCCAAATCCAGAAAAACCAAATCCGTCCATTTACCATTTTGTAGTTACATCACACTCATGTTTTTGCTTTCGTTTTTCGATGAGTTTCACGCGTGCAGTTTTCCTTCATGGTCCACTACTGTATACTATCGACAGCCATAGGTGACGTGCTCTCAATAACAATGACTGCCAGGAATGGCAAACTTCAAGCAGTGCCCGGCGAACGCTGGGCCAAGGTTGGATCGCTTTGGGTCAGGACTTCTACCTTCAGGACATTGCAGACCTCCTGTTGACACATGGCAAGATGCACTAGTTGCTAGTAGCATGAACTCAAACGGCTCAAACATTGGCAGATTGGAATGGGCGAATTAGGGGCGGGCTTGCTTAATACAGTTGGATTGGGATTGCACACAAGGACATCATGTCTTAATATGTCTTATAGTATGTGGTCTCCCTGCTTCCCCTTTACCCCTCGGACGGACGTTTGAGTTACACACCTCGCCAGCGCCAGGACACCATCGCTCCAGCCGTCAGCGATGAGTGCGATGAAAAACACATTGAACATCCAAGCGTTGCAGCGTTGCGTCCATGCTTCCCTCTCCCAAACAGAGTCCCACGTGGCAAAACATGTGCTGAAGCATTTTAGTTTGCAAGTGAGAAATATGTAGCGGAAGCAGTTGCTAGTTGGGCCACAGCCAGATGGAACAAAGATTATAAAAGATTAACAAACACATGTTTCTCGGGTATAATTCAAAGAAGGAAGCACGACATTAGATACTCTACACAGGCCCATTTGCTCAAAACTCTTCCACGCCTTGTCCGTTTAGTCCTGTGTCCTTTTGTAGGATGGGTCAGAAGAACCCCTGGAATCGGTCGATGATTCACGTCGCTTTCGGAATCCTTGGAGTGTTCCTTTTCGGACATAGACTGATGTTGGACTTTGTCAGCCCAAAGCTGTCAGTCCCTCGACCCAGAACCAGAACTGCAAGACGAGCTACAGCCACCGTAAGAGCCGATGGTGATCGGATTTGGTGGGTGAAAATGAACGACTATCAGCAGCAAGTTTGGGCGTTGTCGAATGCACTTGCAGGGCTACTCCGAGACAGTGAGGCATCCAAGTTTCCACCCAGTTTGCGTCAGAAGACCAGAGAACTGCAACAGAGTTGCAACAGACTTCAGCACTACATTGCAACGTCCACATCTCGTATCCAGAAGGATGTTGGAGAGTGCATTGAGGACCTGAAGAGCATAGAACCCTCTGAGCAGCAACCCAGAAGACTTCGCCGAAAATTGTCAAATGTTGAAGAATACCTCCTGAGCGTCAGCGAGACCCTGCAGAGTCAGGAATCACGTGCTCAGGACCTGGAGCTTGAGATCCGATGTCTTGAAGATGACTTCTTTGGTCTGCAAAAAGAGGCAGAACAAACCACCAACAACTATGAGCTCGGAGTAAAAGTGTTTGCTGTTTGCGCAGTTGTTGCCTTTGCTGCAGTTGCTCTCCCTGCTTTGGCAGCAGCAGGTACTGCGGCAGCAGAAGGAGCGGCTGTAGCAGCAGGCACAGCAGCAGTGTCGGAAGGCGCTGTAGTAGCGGCAGGCACAGCAGCGGTGGCTGAAGGGGCTGCAGCAGCAGCAGCAGGCACAGCAGCGGTGGCTGAAGGGGCTGCAGTAGCAGCAGGCACAGCAGCGGTGGCTGAAGGTGCTGCAGTAGCGGCAGGCACTGTGGCAGCTGTTGAGGGAGCAGCAGTTGCTGGAATCAGCGCAGAAACCGTTGCTGTCCTTTCCGGGGGTGCGGCGCTCGCACTCAAAGGCGGTGCTGATGGGTGCCGTCAATTGGGAGAGTTTCTGGACCGCCAGCAACAATCAGTGTCAGAGCATCGGGGATTTGTGAAGCAACTGGAGACGGAGATCGATGTGATGAAGGATGACCTTTCCAATTTGCAGAAGCGATTGAGTACCGCGTCGGATGCGATGGACGATGACGACATTGCAGATGCGTCGCGGATTTGTGATCGATTGGCCGAGCGGCTTGGCGAACTTGTGTGAGCAAGACTCAGCAAGTGCAGTTTCACCCTTTCTCACCGAGATTTAAATTCTGACCCAGTCAGGCATTGGCAAAGTGACAAAGCACTTGAATATATGATCAGGTCAGTGATCAGATCATAATATAATATTATGCTTCTTTGACTACACACACAGCAGATCTCGCCTTGGAGGTGAAGCCCTGCGAGTGCCACAGCGATGTGGAAGGAGAAGCAGAGATCAGCGAGGAAGAGCCAAGCTGTCCACAGGAAGAGGAGTCCCGGCAGTTTCGAGTAAAGTCTCACAGAGGTTCCAGGAATGACAGCAAGGAGTTAAACTGGCTTTGTGCCAGCGTGCCACCGTTCATTATTGGTTTGCTGATGTTTGGAGTGTAAGACGCCTGCAAGAGAAGTTCACAACCAACTGGATAAGGTATATATACAGTATAATAAATATATATATATATTATATGCTAGCCCCCCCAAAAAAAAACCTATGTTTCTGAGTGCTGGTGTGCAGTTGGTAAGCATATTTGTTCATTTAACTATGTACTACAAAAATGTCCAAATCCATAAGGTTATGTGTTTACTAAGCAGTTCTTGGATGGAGCAATCTAGTTCATTGCAACTCCATGCAAAACCATATGTTTTTTTTTTTACGGTGTGAATTGTACTCCTCTTATTGAATGCAGTTGAGCAAGTACATCATAATCAATCTATTCAACTCTACTCTACTTTGTATATTCAAATTCAAATTTGAGTCTATTTCAATTATGTGTAAAAAATATTTTGATTCAAAGGTCTATCACTATAGATTCTAATTTACTTGGGATTCAATGCAAGCCTAATTTTAATTTGATTTCAAGCTAATTCTAACTTCATTGCTATACAAGTCAGATTCAATTCTAATAGTGTATTCTTTTTCAATTTAGTTTTAATTTGAGTGAACTTATTATTTACTTCTAGAGAAGTGGTGTTACTTTGAACATGAGAGATTTTATGTAGTTTTTCCAATATAGAAGAATGTGCTTTCTTAAATGAATTAAATTCACCACCAGCAACACCCACTCTCTAGAATGACACCAAAACTGAATTAGAAGTCCATGTGCATTGAACTAGAATCAACATAGGATGAAATTAGACATATATAAATCAAACCTAATTTGCAATGAGAACCGTATAAAGGCATTAACATTAGAAATTAATTACTAGTAAATTGGAAGAGTCAAAGTTACAATTGAACCCAAAATAGAATGAAATAGAACTAAATTAGAAGTAGACTGGAATTAAATTAGAGTTGAAAGAAAAACATTGAATAATAATCCATTACTTGAATTGAAATTGACTTAGAACTAAGGTAGAATTGAACTAGAGTTGTTTTACCTAGAGCTTGGTTAGTAGAACAGTATTGACTTAGAACTAAATTGGAATCTAAGTTCAATTAGAATTGAACTAGATCTAATTTGCAATCTCAATTTGATTTCAATTATATAAAGTTCAATTAGGAGCATTTTCTATTTAAATTAGAAGCACGTTGCAGATTCAAATTTTGATTCAAGTTTGAATTCCATTAGATCTAAAATAGCCAAACATAATTAGAATTTAAATAGAAATGAGTAAATTCGCATAAACACTGAATTAGAATTTGTCTATACAATGAAGTTAAGCTAAATAGACTTAACTTAGAATTCAATTAGGCTCAACTTAGGCTTAAAGTAGAACTATGTTACATACTCAAATTAGAATCCATTTAAAGTTCAATTAGACTTCAATTAGACTCAACTTAGAAATTTTAATAGAAATACAAGTGATTATAATTTGGAATAAGAATTGACTTAGAATTTAGTTAAATTGTATGTGCACAAAAATTCATAGAAGTAAATTAGAGCTGAATTAGTTGTTAATTAGAATTGAATGAGGAACAAATGTCGGTAATCAGTAATATTCCAGGATCAAAATGTACTTAGTGCAATTTTGTCACTACCAGAGAATGCCAGAGAATGCATTCCTGCCCAAAACCATGATCCAAGATCCAAGATTTGCACAGAAGTCTTGTGGAAAATCTTGGATTTGGGAACATCCTGCCCAAAACCAAGATCCAAGATCCAAGATTTGCACAGAAGTCTTGTGGAAAATCTTGGATTTGGGAACATCCTTTATCACTGTATCAATCCAAGATTTTAGCCAGGAGTCTTGTGGGAATCTTGGATCTTGG